GTCTCATTTTGTAGCCCTCAGTAGAGTGCTCTGGCATCACAGTTCACAGCAACCTCAGACTCATGGGCTTAAGCAATTTTCTTGCCCCAGCCTCCCAAGTAGCTGGGACTACAGGTGCACACCACAACACCCGGCTATTTTTTTTTTTGGTTGTAGTTGTCATTGTTCAGCAGGCCTGGGCTAGATTCGAACCCGCCAGCTCTGGTATACATGGCTGGCGCCCTTAGCCCCTGAGCTATAGGCACCAAGCTTAGAGATGGAGTCTTGCTTTTGCTCAGGCTGGTCTCGAACTCGAGAGCACAGGCAATCCACCTGCCTCGGCCTCCCAGAGTGCTGAGATCACAGGCATGAACCACGGCGGCACCAGGCCCCATTCTGTATTCCTTAAATAGCCTTTGGAGTTCTAGGTAGGCAGACACCTTGTTGGATGGCCCACAGGGTAACCATTAACCTAACATTTATTTTCCATAATAAGAAAAAAAAATCTATTTCCAAGTATAAAAGTAAATGCGTGCTGATTATTATTGTTTTGTTTTAGATACAGACTCCCAATTTGTTGACCTTGGTAGAGTGCTATGGAATCACAGCTCACAGCAACCTCCAGCTCTTGGGCTTAGGCGATTCTCTTGCCTCAGCCTCCTGAGCAGCTGGGACTACAGGTGCCTGCTACAATGCCCGGCTATTCTTTTTGTTGCAGTTTGGCCAGGACCAAGGCTGGGTTCGAACCCACCACCCTTGCTATATGGGGCCGGCACCCTACTCACTGAGCCACAGGTGCTGCCCCAATATGTGCTGATTTTAAAAACAAATATTGGGGCAGCGCCTGTGGCTCAGTGAGTAGGGTGCCGACCCCATATACTGAGGGTGGCAGGTTCAAATCCAGCCCTGGCCAAACTGCAACAAAAATACCTGGGTGTTATGGCAGGCGCCTGTGGTCCCAGCTACTCAGGAGGCTGAGGTAAGACAATCGCCTAAGCCCAGGAGGTGAAGGTTGCTGTGAGCTGTGTGATGCCATGGCACTCTACCAAGGGTGATAAACTGAGACTCTGTCTCTACAAAAAAATAAATAAATAAAAGTAAAAAAATAAAATAAATATCACACCAAGTGCAGTGACTCAGTAATCCCAATACTTTGGGAGGCTGAGGAAGAGGTCACTTTCTTCTTCCCATTTCTCCCTATGCAGTCACATTTAGGTCTGGATCAGAGCTCCAGGGGCCAAGTGATTGCAGCTGCTGTGTCCTGCAGGGAGGCTGGCTTTAAGAAGGGTGGGGCCAAACTTCCTATGTCTGAACTCACCCCCACATGCTCCCTTTTGCTCCTGTGAACCCCATTCCCAGCTCTGCACATTCCCTGTCTCCAGCTGCTGGAGCCAAGGCATCATATGCTCTGAATAATAAAGCCATCCAGAAAGTTCTCCATGGGGAGCTGTGCACTACACTCTGGTTTGCACCCTTGGGGCCAGATACCCAGGAATATCACGAAAAATCTGACCTCAAAGCTAAGTTCTTGTCCCCCATATGCTGAAGCCACAGGGCCCAGGGGGATTCAATACCCAAGTCCTTCTTTTTCCTGATGCTTCTTCCAATGAGACCGGGTGTATGTTTCACCCAGTAAAACACCCTGTAAAAGGTGTAACCCTGTAAAAGACCCTCCTTTTATAGAACCTGACAAAACTTTCTCAGCAGGCCCAATAGGTAACCTTTATCCCAGTTTACTCTCTCGGCTCTAGAGAGTAAAAGCTGTTGAAGACTAGGGAAAGACATGGTAAGACCAATAGGAAGTGAATGGAACTAGTTAGAAGTTCCTGTGGAAGAAGAATTTAAAGTTTTTTTGGTTTTTTTGAGACAGAATTTTACTTTATTGCCCTCGGTAGAGTACTTTGGCATCACAGCTCACAGCAACCTCCAACTCCTGGGCTTAGGCGATTCTCTTGCCTCAGCCTTCCAAGTAGCTGGGACTACAGGCGCCTACTTGGCTATTTTTTTATTTTTTGAGACAGAGCCTCAAGCTATCACCCTGGGTAGAGTGCAGTGACATCACAGCTCACAGCAACCTCCAACTCCTGGGCTCAAGCGAGTCTCCTGCCTCAGCCTCCCAAGTAGCGGGGACCACAGGCACCTGCCACAACGCCCGGCTATTTTTTGGTTGTAGCCGTCATTGTTGTTTGGCGGGCCGGGCTGGATTCGAACCTGCCGCCCTAGGTGTATGTGGCTGGCGCCTTAGCCACTTGAGCCACTGGTGCTGAGCCCACCTGGCTATTTTTTGGTTGTAGTTGTCACTGTTGTTTGGCAGGCCCCAGCTGGATTTGAACCCACCAGCTCCAGTGTATGTGACTGGCACCCTAGCCAGTTGAGCTACAGGTGCTGAGCCTTTTTTTTTTTTTTAATTTGAGACAGAGTCTTACTATGTCGCCCTCAATAGAGTGCTGTGGCGTCACAGCTCACATTAACCTTGAACTCTAGGGCTTAAGTGATTCTCTTTCCTCATCCTCCCAAGTAGCTGGGACTACAGGCACCCGCCACAGTGCCTGGCTATTTTTTTTCCTTTTTTTGGTGGTGTTGTCATTGTTGTTCGGCAGGCCCGTGGATGAGTTTGAACCCACCAGGTCATGTGTGTATGGCTGGCGCTCTAGCTACTGAGCTACAGGCACCAAGCCTAGTTGTTCTTTCCAGCTGATGTCAAAGTTGCATCTGCTCACAGGCTGCAGGCTGAGGGGACAGCTGGGCAGATGCTATATACTGTGAGCTCCTTCAGAGCAGAGGCAGGGCCTTGTTCCCCACTCTGACCAGCTAACACAGTGTCTAGCACTGAGTGGTCAGTCAAAAACTATCTACTTCTGCCAAGGCTCACCCCTGTAATTCCCAGTGCATTGGGAGGCTGAGCTGGGAGGTCCAGCATTCAAAACCAGCTTGAAAGGCCAGGCACAGTGGCTCACACCTATAATCCCAGCACTCTGGAGGCCGAGGCAGGTGGATTGCCTGAACTCAGGAGTTTTTACCAACCTGAGCAAGAGTGAGACCCCATCTCTTAAAAAAAAAAATAGCCAGGCGTTGTGGTGGGAGCCTGTAGTCCCAGCTACTTAGGAGGCTGAGGCAAGAGAATCGCTTTGAGCCCAAGAGTTTGAGGTTGCTATGTGCTGTGACATCACGGCCCACTACCAAGGGTGACAAAGTAAGACTTGGTCTCAAAAAAATAAAAAGACCAGCCTGGTTAACAAAACATTAAAAAAAATAAAAATCAGACAGTTCAGGCTTGGCACCTGTAGTTCAAGTGGTTAGAGCTCCAGCCACATACACCGGAGCTGGCTGGTTTGAATCCAGCCCAGGCCTCCCAAACAGCAATGACAACTACAACCAAAAAATAGCCAGGCATTGTGGCAGGCACCTGGAGTCCCAGCTACTTGGGATACTGAGGCAAGAGAATCACTTAAGCCCAAGAGTTAAAGGTTGCTGTGAGCTGTGATGCCATGGTACTCTACCCAGGGTGATAGCTTGAGACTGTCTCAAAAAAAAAAAAAAAAATCAGACAGTTCAAATAAGTATAGAAAAAGTGAAAAATCATGCATTCTCCCACCTCCAAGAAATTACCAATATTATTAGTGTATGTTTCTTACATATTAGGTATAGATGATATCAAGTTTTTTTTTTTTCAGTTTTTGGCTGGGGCTGGGCTTGAACCCACCACCCCAAGTATATGGGGCCAGCACCCTACTCCTTGAGCCACAGGCACCTCCCTGATATCAACAATTTTTTAACCTTTTTCATTGACTAGAGTATAGACATCCTCCCATGTCAATTAATTTAGGCTTACTAATATTTTAAGCTGCCTAGTCCATTCTGTTGTATGGAAATACTCTTAGTCCATTTACTACTAATGAACATTTAGGCTGGTTTAAGTGTTTTACTGTGATTTTTAAAAATGCTGGGATGCACACTTCTGTATACATATAGACGTATGACCCATTCTTTCCTTCCTTCCTGTATGTGTGTGTCTCTTTCTTTTGTACTTCAGATACTGCCAAATTGCTCTCCAGGACACTTATATCAATTCTATTCTCCCACAGGACTGGAAAGTATTTCTTCTTTTTTTTTTTTTCAAAGACAGAGTCTCAGGGGCAGCGCCTATGGCTCCGTGTGTAGGCACCGGCCCCATATACTGAGAGTAGTGGGTTCGAACTTGGCCCCAGCCAAACTGCAACAAAAAATAGCCAGGCCTTGTGGCAAGCACCTGTAGTCACAGCTACTTGGGAGGCTGAGGCAAGAGAATCACCTAAGCCTAGGGGTTGGAGGTTGCTGTGAGCTGTGACACCACATCACTCTAATGAGGGAGATAAACTGAGACTCTGTCTCAAAAAAAAAAAAAAAAAAAGACAGAGTCTCGGGCAGTGCCTATGGCTTAGTAGGTAGGGCACCAGCCTCATAAAACTGAGGGTAGTGCGTTTGAACCCAGCCCTGGCCAAACTGCAACAAAAAAATAGCTGGGCATTGTGGTGGGCCTCTAGGGAGGGTGATAAAGTGAGACTCTGTCTCAAAAAAAAAAAAAAGTCTCAAGCTGTCACCCTGGGTAGAGTACTATGGCATCATAGCTCACAGCAATCTCCAACTCCTGGGCTTAAGTGATCCTCTTGCCTCAGTTTTTGTTTCTCTTTTTTTCATAGAGACAGAGTCTTACTTTGTCACCCTCGGTAGAGTGCTGTGGCATCACACAGCTTACAGCAACCTCCAACTCCTGGGCTTAGACGATTCTCCTGCCTCAGCCTCCCAAGCAGCTGGGACTATAGCCATCCAGCACAATGCCCCGTTATTTTTTTGTTGCAGTTTGGCTGGGGCCAGGTTTGAACCACCATCCTCGGTATATGGGCCCAGCACCCTACCCACTGAGCCACAGGCACTGTCCCCTCAGCTTTCTTTTCTTATTTTTTTTTTGTTGTTGAAGTTTGGCCAGGGCAGGGTTTAAACCTGCCACCCTCGGTCTATGGGGCTGGCATCCTACTCACTGAGCCACAGGTGCTGCCCAGTTTTTCTTTTTTTAGTAGAGACAGGGTCTCACTTTTTGCTCAGGCTGGTCTCTGACTCCTGAGTTCAAGCAATCCACCCACCTTGGCCTCCCAGAGTGCTAGGATTATAGGCGTAAGTCACTGTGGCCACCTGGAAAGTTATTTTCCAAGTTCCAGCTGCCACTATACAGGAACAGGAAGGGCACTGGATGAAAGCACAGAAAGAGAGTTAAGTAAAATATTGCCCTTGTCCTTTAGGATTTTTTTTTAATTTTAATTTTTAACTTTTAATTTTTGAAACAGAGTCTCACTATGTCGCCCTCGGTAGTGCCGTGGTGTCACAGCTCAGTGTATCCTCCAACTCCTGGACTTAACCAGTTCTCTTGCCTCAGCCTCCCAAGTGGCTGGGAGGGTGTCACTACAGGTGTCTGCCAGAACACACCTGGCTTTTTTTTTTTTTTTTTTGGTTGTATTTGTCATTGTTGTTTGGCAGGCCTGGGCTGGATTCAAACCTGCCAGCTCTGGTATATGTGGCTGGCACCCTAGCTGCTGAGGTACAGGTGCTGACTTAGAGTGCTATCTTAATATATTTTCTCATATATGTATTTACAAACACATAATGTATATACAAAAAATATGAAAATTACTAACCACCTTGAAGTTTGTTGTCACCATTATATAGCTAAGAAAAAAATAGAGACATTCCTTAGGTGACTTGTGTTAGTTCTCACAGCTAATTTGTCACATAAGAATGACAAATTCGAATCAATGTCTAAGACTTCCCTGGCATGGAACTGTCTTTGGTGCAGCCTTACTCACCATTAAGTTTTTTCAGTTAATACATGTGCTGTGAGAACCTGATGTCACCCTGATTGTTTCTGCTTCCCAAACTCAGGAGCCACCCTAGTGCCTAGTCTGTTCTTCTGGTGCTTCAATGGACTTCTGCTGGTGGTTGACACAACTGGAAAACCGAACTTCATTTCCCGCTACCGAATTCAGGCTGGCAAGAATGAACCTGTAAGTGTTCCTACAGCCCTTCCTGGTTAAAGCACAGAAAGCAAGAGCTAAAAGTTACACTCAGAATTCTTATCACTATCCCAGGAGAGACCATGGCCAGAAGGAGCCAAGTTATGGACAAGGCTACCCCAGTTGAGAAGGTTAGAGAGAAGAAATAATTTGCCCCAAATCTCAGAGCTATTTAGCTAGTGGGAAGTCAAGAGTAATGTTCTGGCTTCCTGTTCCCTGCTCAGGCTCTACACCTGCCTGTGCTGCCCCATGGGAACAGAGACAGCAATGGCTGGGTGCTGAAACAGGTAACAGCTGTAAAAGCAATGGGGAACTACAATAGATGGATAGATGGTGTGGATTCTGAATGTGTGAGTGTTGGTTGCTTTTTAAACAAGTCCTCCTTCCTAAATATTTATTCAACCTATAATGCAAAGTACTAAGGGCAAATCCATGAAAAACAAGGCCCAGACTGCTAAGGAGGAGCTCTGACTTCCATAGCACCAGGAAGTGAGTCCCACTGGCCCCTGAACCTGGATTACCTGCTTGGTGCTGACAGCCTCCAGAGAATCTTTTCTTACACAACGGGGAAGAAACCCAGGTTCTTTCCCACCCAAACCACTTCCTGATTTCTTTGCCAGACAAGACAATCATCTCTGGGGATCACCTCAGTTCTCAGGGCCTTCTGCCCCACCTGGCACTCCAGAAAGGCAGAATGAAAAATAGTGCTCTCGACGCAGTTCTGTGGAATGACCCTTTCCTGAGCCAGAGATGCTGGCCTGGCTCATGATCCCCTGCACTTGAGGCAGCCAGCCCAGTGGGCTTCCTCTAGGCTCATCTTGGCAGGACATGGACTAAAGCCTAAAGTGTCAGGCCATTGCTTAGTCTGTCAGATCTTATTATCTGTCAGATCATAGCTGACTCCTTGGCAGTCACCACTGACTACACAATTACATCTTTAAGGCCAGATATTACAACAACCTGAAATTGTTCAGATAAGGAAACATAAGCTTTGAGGTATGACATGGATAGAACCATGATGCAAACTCAGGCTTTCGGACTGCAGGGGGACTCATACTCTTTAACTGCCAGGCTATGTCAGCTCTCAAGAACAGGGGTGTCCAACCTGAGGCCCGCAGGCCACATGCAGATTATTTGAAGCCTGTTTTGTTCATCCATGGTGTTGGATATTGTGAAAATTATGTACGAACCTTTTTTCTGCTCACAGCTTTCATTTGTGTTTTTTTGTTTTTTGTTTTTTTGAGATATAGTCTCACTATGTCACCCTAGGTAGAGTGCTGTGGTGTCACAGCTCACAGCAACCTCAAACTCCTAGGCTTAAGCAATTAATTCTCTTGTTTCAGCCTCCTGAGTAGCTGGGACTATAGGCACCTGCCACAACACTTGACTATTTTTTAGAGATGGGAGGTGGGAGGTGGGGGGGGGTGTTTTCACTCTTGCTCAGGCTGGTCTTGAACTCATGACCTCAGGCAATCCACTTCCCTCGGCCTCCCAGAGTGCTAAGATTATAGGCATGGGCCATCCACAAAAGCATTGTCTGACGTTCTCTGTAAACCCCCAAATCAAGAAAAGGCTCGGGCTCGGAGCCTGTGGCTCAAGTGGCTAAGGCACCAGCCACATACACCTAAGGTGGCGGGTTCGAATCCAGCCCGAGCCTGCCAAAAAACAACAATGACAGCTGCAACCAAAAAATAGCTGGGCATTGTGGCGGGCACCTGTGGTCCCAGCTACTTGGGAGGCAGAGGCAGGAGACTCACTTGAGCCCAGGAGTTGGAGGTTGCTGTGAGCTGTGATGCCACGGCACTCTACCCAGGGGGATAGCTTGAGGCTCGGTCTCAAAAAAAAAAAAAAAAAAAGGCTCCACCAAAATTGATATCAGCAAGTTCACCAATGATCTGGTCTCAGGCTTATCTCATCCAACCACTAGAACATTTCCACAGTTGTCATTCCCTTATCCTTGATGTATTTTTGCTTCCAGGACACCCTACTCTCTATGTCCTCCCTGTAGGCCCTATGTGACCTCCTCTCCTACTTCTTACCACCTCCCCCCCACCTCTCTCTCTCTCTAATTTCCAGTCACAGGCCAGAAACGTGACCGTCTTAGAGCCTTGTCACCAGCTGTTGCCTTGGTTGGAAGGCCCTTCCCTCAGCTACCTGTTGGGCTAAGGCCCTCACTGTCTTCATGTCACCATCTCAATGAGTCCTACCCTGACCATTTTATTTAAAATTAGTGGCTTACCCCTTGCCTGACACTCCCAATGCCCCTTTCCCCCTTTTTTCTTTTTACCAAAGCACATATCACCTTGGAATATAGATTTTTTATATTTGTTGTTTCTGGTCTGTCTTCCTCACTAGAATATAAATTCCAAGAGAGAAGAAATGTATTTTATATCTGGGTGCAATGGCTCATGCCTGTAATCCTAGCACTCTGGGTTAGGATTACAAGGTGGGTAGATAGCTTGAGCTCAGGAGTTTGAGACCAGCCTAAGCAAGAGTGAAAATAAAAATAAAATAAATAAAATTTTTTCTTTACTAAAAATAAAAGAAAATAGAAAAAATAGCTAGGCATGGTGGCAGGTACCACTAGTCCCAGCTACATGGGAGGCTGAGGCAAGGGGATTGCTCAAGCCCAAGAGTTTGAGGTTGCTGTGAGCTAATGATGCCACGGTACTCTACCCAGGGCAACAGAGTAAGACTCTGTCTCAACAAAAAAAAAAGAAATGTATTTTGTTTTGTCCATTGTTTTCTTTTCCAGCACCTAGAATACTGAATGCTACATAGTGGATGCTTAATAACAGTTGAGGGGTGGCGCCTATTGCTCAAAGGAGTAGGGCGCCAGCCCCATGTGCCGGAGGTGGTGGGTTCAAACCAGCCCCGGCCAAAAACTGCAAAATAAATAAATAACAGCTGAACAAATGAATAGATGTTATACCCTTGTCTTGGTCAAGGTTCCCAGAAGACATGAATGGCCTTATTTACATGTCCTCTCAAAATAGGCCATCCAGACCCAGCCTCACCTTGGGAAGGAAGTAAACAATTAGAGTGAATTCTGAAGTCAGTCTATGCACATAGTGCCTGGAACAGCTGAGGGAAGAGGCAGGCCTCCAGTCTGGACACCATTCTGAATCCTGTCCCACTTTGGGGCAGAAAACCCTCCAGAGTGCAGAGGGAACTCAGGGAGGAATCCCTCTAACCAATCTCAAATGAGTTTATTAGCATGCAGAGAGTGACCTTTGGTCACTGGGCTATCCTCTAGCACCCCAGTTCTCTGACAAAAGGAAGAATCAATGGATTACTGATTCTTGGAAGAAGTGCTAGCTGTAGTACTGAGGCTGAATGGGGTTTGGGCATTTGGGGCCAGCGCGCCACAGCAGACCCAGGTGAAAATGCTTGGCCAGTGTGAAAACCAGAACATGAGTCAAGAAGCTAGATAAGCAGCACCCTGCCTTACCTCCTTCTTTGTTCTGGGCCTAGTCCAGTGAAGGTGGACCAAATGAGGAAGCAGATGACCTTGATCTCTGTGCCCAATCATGCACAAGGTTCTCCTATGAAGAGGGGCTAAAGGGATGAAATTGGATATCAACCTGAGAGTAGACAGCCTTCTCTAAGTGTCGTGGAAGTTCCTCAAGTTACCTGTAAGGAATACCTGGGGCCTGGCCAGAGAAAAAGGAGGGCATTGGTGTCTGTGGAATGAGAGAGAAGGCAGGTCAGGCACAGCCTGAAAGCTGCTGGGAGGGAGTTTCCAAGGTAGTGGCATTATTCCTTGGCCTAACAGCCAGGGCCTTATTCTGCAATGTTTCCAACCCCAGGGCTGGGAGGCTGTCAGGAGCTGTTGGCTATGCCCAGCCATCACTCCTTGAGTGAAGGCCTCCTCTGAGCAGGTCACAATAGAGCTTTTTTCTAGAAGGGAAAGACTGACTTCTCACGCTTGTCCATTTCTCTCCTTCCCTCCTTTGGGCAGGTGGACCCTGTGAAGCTACGCCAGTCTACCCGCACAGTTCTTTTCAACCAGTTCATGATCTCTCTCCCCATGATAGTCTTCCTTTATCCCTTCCTCAAGTGGTGGGGAGACCCCTGCCGCCGTGAGTTGCCTACCTTCCACTGGTTCCTCCTGGAGCTGGTGATTTTCACCCTGACTGAGGAAGTCTTATTCTACTATTCACACCGGTAAGCAGTCCCTACCTGAGCACAGCTGGCTCCTCACCCTGCCTTGGGCTCACTTATCAACAAGGAAACTTGAGGCCTCTCAATTGCAGATACAGGGCCAACACCCCTGGCCTCAAGTCTACAATTAAATGGCTAACAGACAACTATCTGTCTCCCATAACCAACATGGGACAACTGAGAATTGTCCAGAAAAGAGCAAGCTTCTCCATTTGTTTGGCAGCCAGGGCAGTTTCCCATTCACTACCTTACTGAATCCTTTCTGGGCATCCCCATTTACAGCTAATAGAATGAGTACAGAGGCAAAGTACCCACCCCGAAGCTATGCAGCATAAGGGATGGACTTGGAACTTGAGGACAGGCCTGCGTGCTAGTCCCATCTGTTTTAAATTTGGCTCTATGGCTGGAAACCCTAGTTTCTACCTTTGGTTTCTCAAGGTGTGGTAGGGTAGAGAAAGTGAAGAATCAGCGGATTATTAACTATTACCTATTTCCCCAGACTCCTTCACCACCCTGCATTCTATAAGAAAATCCACAAGAAACACCACGAGTGGACAGCTCCCATTGGTGTGATATCTTTGTATGCCCACCCTATAGAGCATGTGGTGAGTTGAACTCTCCTCTCTCCAGAGGTGAAGGACAAATGCCCCTAACCACCTTCCCTAAGGTTCCCTAGCAGAAAGTTAGACCATAATGGCCCTTTCTTTCTTCTTCCCTTTAAATAGCTGCCATAGGCTCGGCACCTGTAGCTCAGTGGTTAGGGTGCTAGCCACATACACCAGGGCTGGCGGGTTCAAACACGGCCAGGCACTGTGGCAAGCATCTGCAGTCCTGGCTACGTGGGAGGCTGAGCCAAGAGAATCACTTAAGCCCAAGGGTTTGAGGTTGCTATGAGCTGTGACGCCACAGCACTCCACTGAGGGTGAAAATAGTCAAACTGTGTCTCAAAATAAATAAATAAATAAATATATAAGTAAATAGCTGCTATAGGTTAGGCCAACCCAAGTTATCTCACTTAACCCTCCCAACATCCTGTTTAATCCTGACTTTGCTAATAAGGAGGTTACTTTTTCAGATCTGAGTCAAGGAACTTTTTCTCTGCTACTTTCATGGGGCAAAGGATTCAGCTGGGTCCCTTCCCTGTCGCTGGGCCCTGCCTTCAATCCCTTCAACCATCCCTCCCCTTGCAGGCCTCCAACATGCTGCCGACAATTCTGGGTCCTTTAGTAATGGGCTCTCATTTATCCTCTATCACCACGTGGTTTTCCTTGGCTCTCATCGCCACCACCATCTCCCACTGTGGCTACCACCTACCCTTCCTGCCCTCACCTGAATTCCACGACTACCACCATCTCAAGTAAGGACTTCTTCCCCATAGTGGGCCCCTGGGCAATAACCACCACCCTCACTACTCAAGCTTCTAATGGTGGACATTGGTGTCTCAGTTTAAATGGGGGTGCTAATTGGGAAAGAGGTCTGAAAATAATGGCTACATTGGGACCACCTTACTCCTTTCCTTGGGTTCTGGACCCTTAGATAGCTAATGTAAGCTACAGACACTCTGTTCAGAAAAACGTGTATATGCATACAAATCCTGCATGCAGTTCCAGGGAAATCGTGCCCCCAGGCTTTTTCAAGTATGACCTACCGGAAACCTCGTATGCCAGAAACACCTGAGAGCCTTGTTTAAAATGCAAGTTCTTTCAATCTGAGCAGGAGTGAGACTCCCATCTCTATAAAAAAAATTAGCTGAGAGTGGTGGAAATGCACCTGTAGTCCTAGCTACTCGGGAGGCTGAGGCAAGAGTACCACTTAAGCCCAAGAGTTTGAAGCTGCTGTGAGCTGTGACGCCAAAGCCTCTAACCAAGGTGACAAAGAGAGAGTTTGTCTCAAAAAAAAAAAAAAAAAGGTATCTGGGAAAGCAAGAGCTGGAAAGCTGCATTGTAGTTAAGTATTCCACGGGATTCTGATGGAGGTGGTCTCTGAAGCATACCTGAACAAGCCTAGTTCTGCCAGAGGTTCTCAAATTGTGTGCAAGAGAATCACATGATGAGCTTTTCAAAGGAAGACTACAGATTTTGCAGGTCTGGAGTGCCCCCAGAAGTCTAACAACCCCTTTCCCCCAGGTTATTTTGATGCTGGTGGTCAAGATGGTGGTGACAGGTGTGGGTAGGCAGGCTGAGAACTGTATGAGAGGTCAGTACAAATAAAATGGAGATCCATATAGGGGCCTCCAGCGCTAGGGCTACAGCACCTCCCTCTCTCCTCCAGGTTCAACCAGTGCTACGGGGTGCTGGGGGTGCTGGACCACCTCCATGGGACTGACACCGTGTTTAAGCAGACCAAGGCCTATGAGAGGCACACCCTTCTGCTGGGTTTCACTCCACTGTCTGAGAGCATCCCTGACTCACTGAAGAAGATGGAGTAAGAGGGGCCTCGAGTCATCCTGGCTGTCCCCTCAGCAGCAGCACACCAAGGTGGCCTAGGGCCTCCTAACTGCACCTAACAACTTGCCTCCTTTAGCCACACACTCTTTAAAGCTGTCACTAAGGCAGAAGGAAGGTTCGCTTCCTGAAAAAGCAGGGCCCAGGATAAGGCCAGGGCTTCCCCCAAACCAGTATCCTTGATGATCCTTAATGGGATCAGGAGTTGGCGTAAGAAAAACACACCTCTCCAAAATTGAGGCCAATCACAGGAGGAAACCCCACTGAGAGGGCTCCTGCAACTCCCCCAGTCCTTTGAGGTGGAAGGGGAGAGAAACTCCACCCCAGACAACACTGTGGCCTAGGCAGGGAGCAGAGAATGTCAAAGGGAACTGAGGGACTGGTGGGTTCAGGGAGCACTCCTGGTGCTGGGGTAGGGGAACCAAATATCACTTTGCCCCTTCCTGTCTGTCCCAAAATGTTCTTCTCAAGACAGAGCCGGGACACCCTGACAAACCATCACAGGTCTCAGTTCTTGACGTGCCAGATGGCAGCCCCCTTTTCCCTCCAGCACATACACACTGAGTCAGTGATATTTCAACTCTGCCCCACCACAAATGTCTTCCTTCTGAAGACATGGGGACACATAAAATCACAGGAGCTCCTCCCTGGATTAAAACTGAGACACCAAAGAGATGCAGTACAAGTCCCACCACCTTCAGCCATTTGTGGAAACCAAAGACCAAACCTTGAGGAACTACTACGCTGAGGGCCCTTTTACTCACAAGGGGGAAGAGTCAGAGTTGCTGCCCTTTGGAGATGCCCAGCTGAGGCCCTTAAGTAGCCTATTTGAATCAGGACCAGAGGATTAGAACCTTTCTCCCCCATTAGCCTAGAAAGACATGGCTGAGCAAAGGGCAAAACCCCCCGCCCCCCAAAATGGCTAACCAGTTTTTCCAACACCATTTATTCAGGATGATTTTTACCAGAAACATTATCTAAAAACCACAGCTTGGTGTAGTGGCATGTGCCTGTAAGTGCCAGCTACTCTGGATGCTGAGACAAAAGGATCACATAAGCTTAGGAGAGTTTGAGACCAGCCATAACAACCTGGCAAGACACCATCTTAAAAACAACCAGAGAGCTGCTTGGGTTCAAATGGTCCCTGTTCTGGCGTCCCTTCAGCACCCAGATATAGCCAGGAAGTCTGTTGCTCCCAAGAACAATTTGAAGACCACTTTGATTTGAATCAGAAAGATCCCTGCTGTCATTCACTGAATTTTTATGCACTTTGTGTTTATTTCCAACTTGCAGTTCTTAAGAAAACCACTTGCTATGGCTTTTTAAAAAACTTTCTTTTTTTTTTATTGAGACAGAGCCTCAAGCTGTCCCCCTGGGTAGAATGCCGTGGCATTACAGCTCACAGCAACCTCCAACTCCTGGGCTCAAGCCAGTCTCCTGCCTCCGCCTCCCAAGTAGCTGGGACCACAGGC